ATATATAAATAAACTAAAAATATATATTTCATTTATTTTAATTAAGTATAAATAAAAAAAAAATAATATAAAAATACGTCCACTGGGCGTGACATACTGACACGTCCCAGTGAAAGAGTACGCGCCCGTTGTACGTTGCGTAATTAAAAAGGGAACTCCCCAGTTAACAGGTTTAAAGGTAAAAAATGAACAGAAGCATCTTTTCTTTCCTGTCTTTCATTCCCAACTTCTTACTCTTACTACTTTTCAGTGCCCCCTTCACCCCCCCGCCCCAACCCCTTTCCCAAAACTTGGAACTCAATTAGCCTGTGAGCAATGAAACAATGATATGTGACAAAACCACTGGTTGGATGGATATAGAGGATGGATACCCAACTGTAATAGAGGTGGCCAAAAAGAATACTAGATTCACAGGCAACTAGGAGTAGAGGAATTCAAAGATTACCTTTATAAAGTAATCGAAAGTGGTTTATAGCCTCCATATTGCAAAAGGAGAAAAGTCTCTAGAATTAAATACCAAGGAACCTGATTTTGTTATATTATTGCCAAATGCCACAAACTTAGCAGTGATCACTTAAAAATAGTCTATAGTGTGAAGTTTAAGGAACAATGACTCCTAATTAGTATTATAATAAGTGTGTTAGCCATTCTGGAATGTCATTTATGGTAAATTAAAGAACTACTATCCCTCCCCATCTCCATTAGTATTTTAATGCTAGGAGGTGGGAAAAGCTGATCCATATTCAAGAGGAAAGGAAGAAAAACAATAACAAATTGGCATCTCTTCTGTGGATTGCCCCACAGGCCAAGCATTTTTATGTTCTTAATCATTATTAAATGACTTAACATGACACCCAGAGCCTGGCGAATGATTGCATCCTGACATGAGAACGAATTACAAATGAAATGAAAGATCAAGCCGCATTAGAGGATTGCCTCTGGGAAATGAAAATCTTTAATTCTCTTTTATTATTGACATTTATTTGGCTGCCATGAATAACAACATAGCAAAGAGATTCAGCTATGCTTGTGCACTGAATAGCTTATCCCAGGGCTCAAAACTGCATTAACATTTATCATGTTTGCTTTTGTAGCTGACACCACTGAACAGATTCTCTATCCATCTTGTATTTATCATGCATTGCAGATATAGTACACCCTCTAATTTAAGTTCATTTTCATATAGTAGAAGCAGCAGATTACCAGTGTCTGTCCTCAAATAAATTCCTGCTGGTAAGCATTCCTAAGAGGGTTTAATATATTTAATAAGAAACAAATTGAGTTGACAAATTCAGTCACAGGAAGAGGATGCTAATTTTAAAGGTTTCAATTTTTGGAAATTTGTGCTAATTCACAAGACACTTGTACAATATGTATCTCTGGAATAAAGCCTTAAAATAAATGTCTCTATAAAGAGCAACCAAATAGCATTTTATGAATCTGAAGGCAGTATGACAATTCTTATGAGGTAAAAAAGTCGGTATGATTTTCACTTTTCCAAATGGTGTTCACTGCTAAGACAGGAATAGGCCACACATTATAAAAAGACAGCAATTCAGATATTATCAACGCAGGGGTATCTTTTCATGACTTATTTATTTTCTCTCTTGTACAAATTAACAACATGGCTTTTCCTGTCACAACAATAAAAGGTTATTCTGTATGCGGTGTCTTTGCTCACGTGATCCTCTCTGAATAGATTGCTCTCCTTTCTTCAGTACTTCCTAAAATTCAAGGCTTAGCAAGGATATCAATGTATATGGGGGAAATAAATCACTTAATACTATATATCTGATTTTTGATTGAAAAATTAATTTTCTGTCCTTCTGTATTTTATACTTTTAATTATGAAAAATTTTAAGTGTATATACAAATGGATGTAATTGCACAATGACCATCCCCATACATCCACCACCCATCTTTTGCAATTATTGACTCATGGCAAATCTTACTTCATCTATAACTTCCCTTCATTATTTACTATGTACTGCATTATTTTGAAATAAATATCTGTATCTTGCTTTTGACAATTCTAAAATAAGTTGAAATGAATTAATTCTAAGGTTCCCTACTCCCAAAATTTGACAATAATTTATTCTTCTATCTCTTCAGGCATATTTACTTAGTTCAACAAAAATTTACTTCATAGCCACTATAAAATCTTTATTGAGGTTTTATTGATTTCCTTCTCTGAGTCAATAAAAGCGCTCATAATTTTTACCAGTAATTAACAAGTGTAATTACAGTTTCTTGTATTCATATGTTGATATGTATTAATTTTATTTCTGAGTTAGATCTTTAGGACTCATATCTTAAGTTTTAGTGTTCAATAGAGTACTGAATAAACACAAAGGTAATAATTGCTTTTTATAATAATTATTAACTGATTGATTTTAATCTTAATTGTTAAGACAAAATGAAAAGGTATTTTGGCTTTAATAGTAGGTAACATCATATTGACAATATTAATCATTTTTTAATTGTTTAAGCTACCACAACTCTTTTTAAAAAAATATGTACTTTTATTGATTTCAGAGAGGAAGGGGGAGGGAGAGAGACATAGAAATATCAGTGATTAGAGAAAATCATTGATCGGCTGCCTTCTGCACGCTCCTTACTGGGGATAGAGTCCACAACCTGGGCATGTGCCCTTGACCAAAATTGAACCAGGGACCCTTCAGTTCACAAGCTGACGCTCTCTCCGCTGAGCCAAACCAGCTAGAGCAATATTAATTATTTTATTTGATAAAATATTTGTTGACTAGATAAAATTCCTATTTTATTTCTTAAAAAAATATGTTTCTTTATTGAGGAAGGGAGAAGGAGAGAGAGATAGAAACATCAATGATGATGTTCCTGTACACCCCCTACTGGGGATTGAACCGAAACCCAGGCATGTGCTCTTGGCCGGAATCGAACCTGGGACCTCTCAGTCCACAGACTGACACTCTATCCACTGAGTCAAGCCGGCCAGGGCTATTTCTATGAAAATAAATGGCTGTGTAAAAACAGAAGTGAAGTTTTCTTTAAGTTCAAAAGCTGATTTAGTAACTTATATCTGGGTTACATTTGTTCATAGTTGGATACATTTATGTTATTGGAGCACAGGTATTTGGTAATTAAAATATATGTTTTTCAGGAAAGACATTTCTAGATTGACAATATCTCCAAAATATCACAGTAAAAAAATCAAGGTATTGTAGATTTACTCAAACTGACTTTTCTTAAATTATCTTCTTGAAAATATTTTCTACCGAGATAGAAGGTACATATATAATTAAAATTATTAAAAAAAAAACTATACAAGGTACATTTTCACAGAAATAGAACAAAAAATTCTAAATTTCATATGGAACCACAAAAGATCAAGAACAGCCAAAGCAACCTTGAGAAAGAAGAACAAGGTTGGAGGCATCACACTTCTTTTGATTTCAAACTATATTACAAAGATACAGTAATCAAAACAGTATGATACTAGTATAAAAACAGAGACATGCAGGTCAATGGAACAGAATAGAAAGCCCAGAAATAAACCCGGATATATGTGATCAATTAATTTATGACAAAGGAACCATGAACATACAATGAGGAAACAATAATCTCTTCAATAATTGGTTTGGAAAATTGGACAGCCACATGCAAAAGAATGAAAGTGTATCATTACCTTACAACATACAGAAAAATCACCTCAAAATATTTAAGACTTGAAAGTAAGACCTGAAACCATTAAACTCTTAGAAGAAAAAGAGGTAAGTTCCTTGACACTGGTTTGGTGACAATTTTTAGGATTTGATACCAAAAGCAAAGTCCGCAAAAGCAAAATAAACAAGTGGGATGACATCCAACTAAAATCACAATCAAACAAACAAGCAAAGAAAGAATACTCCTACACAACAAAAGAAACCATGAACAAAATGAAAAGGCAACCTATGGAATGGAGAAAATATTTGTTAATCACTTACCTGGTAAGGAGCTAATATCCAATATACCTTATACAACTCAACAAAAAACAAACATAAAGCCAAACAAAAAAGTCAAACAAAAACAAGGTGAAAGATCTGAATATTTTCCCATAAAAGACATAACATACACATGGCCAACAGGTATATGAAAAGGTGCTCAACATCATTAATCATCAGGAAAATGTAAATCAAAACCAAAATGAGATCATCTCATACCTGTTAGAGTGGCTATTATCAAAAAGACAAGAAATGTGTGTTGGCAAGGACAGACATGAAGAAAAAGGAACCCTTGTGCACTGTTGATAAAAATGTAAATTGGTGTAGCAACTATGAAAAACAGTGTGGAGTTCCCTCAAAAAATTAAAAATAGAACTACCATATGATCCAGCAATTACACTTCTGGACATTTATTTGAAGAAAATGAAAACACTAACTTGGAATGAAATCTGTACCCTTGTGTTCATTGCAGCATTTTTTACAATAGCCAAGACATAGAAGCAACCCAAGTGGTCTGTTTGATGGATGTAGAGATAAAGAAAATGCATATATACTTACACATTTATACATTAAAATAACATTCAGCTGTAAAAAGGAAGGCAATCCTCCCATTTGCAATGATCTGGATGAACCCTGAAGGCATTATGCTAAGTGAAATCAGTCAGAGAGAGAAAGACTAATAAGGTATGATCTCACTTGCATGTGGAATCTAAAAACATCTGAACTCATGGATACAGAGAACATATTGATGATTGCCAGAAGTGTGTGAGTGTGCGTGTCTGTCTGTGTGTGTGTGTGTGTGTGTGTGTGTGTGTGTGTGTCTAAGCAAAATGAGTTAAAGTGGTCAAAAAAAAGTACGGTGTTTTGAATTAAATATAACAGAAAGAATGTAAATTTGTTATAAATGATTAAGCTCCATAATACTGGTTTTCTCACACAGTTTGCATGTTTTGAATTAATTATGTTAGAAAGAATATAGACTTTTGTTATGAATGATTAACCTCCATAATAATGGTTTTCTCACAGAGTTTTCACACATACCTGTAGCCATTATAGTGTCATCACTCCCTTGGGTGAAAATCACAACTCGCTGCCTCTTCGAGTTCACCTTTGGCAGAGCTTGGGTCTTTCTGGCTATCGCTTTAATATCTTCAGTCTGTTAATCAAAAGGAGAAAAAGTTTCTCATAACCAGTATAGTAAGATAATGCTTTCTTAGTAGATTAAGGATTTAGACTCTCATGTTTAAAATGAGATGCTTAAACATTATGAGTTATAATTTAAAAATGTTAACCACATACAAAAGTAAACACCTACACTAATAAAAAGAGTAAGATGCAAATTGACCATACATTTGCAACACCCACCAGCCAATCAGGAGTGAGTATGCAAACGAACACAACAAAGATGGAGGGTTAATTTGCATACACAGGTGCCGAGCGGCCAGGGGCAGGACGGGACGCAGGCATTCTGCACCACCCCAGCCACTCTGGGCCTCTGGGCAGCCTGGGAAGGCCAAAAGGCAGCTCCGGGCTGGAATGAAGGCGGTGCCTGCAGCCAGGAGAAGGAAGGCCCATTCTTACACAAATCTTCATGCATCGGGCCTCTAATAATAGTATAATAACCTCAAAGGAGCCGTCAAATCGTAAACATTTAAAATTTATTCTTTTATACTTCCATCTACCTGCCTTTCATATTATTCTGAAGTAAATCCCAGAGGCTATATGTCACCTATAAATGTTTTAGTATATATCTCTGAAAGATAACTTAAACACAACCACATAACTATCATCATATCCTAACATGTAAAAACCCTGGATTGTAATGACCAGTAATGACCAAGGCTTGACCAATTGGAAGTCAGTCCAGCACTGATGGCAGAGGGGGCTGTGAATCAGGGCCAGAGAGGGGCCTGAAGAGAGAAGCAGGGACCGATCTGTTGCCTCTTTGGCAGCTTTTGATCAGGCAGACAGGCAGAGGGGTTAGGGGCAATCAGGCAGGCAGGCAGAGGCAATAAGGGGTGATCAGGCAGGTAGGCAGGTGAGCCAGTGGTCCCAGATTGCTAGAGGGATGTCCAACTGCCAGCATTCTCCAAGGGGGTCCCTGATTGGAGAGGGTGCAGGCTGGGCTGAGGGAACCCGCCTCTGTGCATAAATTTCATGCACTGGGCCACTAGTTTAAAAAATAAACACTAATCCCTTAATATCAGCAAATATCCAGCCAATTTTCAAATTTCCAATAAAAAATTGTAGAAAAAATATTAAACTATTTTAGGGGTGTACAGAGCATGATTATGCTATGGAAATAATAGTTACTATAATGCCAAAATTTTCAAAGACTTAAAATGAGAGAGAGGTGCTGTTTCCTAGAGACTTGAATTATTATACTTTAAAAAAGATAAAGTTAAAAAAATTACAAATTAATTCTAGAAACCCTGATGCTGTTTTTTTGTATCACATAGGCCATGCATGAAGTTTTATACCTTTGTGTGTGTGTGTGTGTGTTAATCTTCACCTGAGGATATTTTTTCCATTATTTTTTTTAGAGGAGTGGAATAGGAGGGTTGAGGAAGGGAGGAAGAGGAGGGAAGGAAAGAGAGGGAGAGAGGGAGGGACCCTCGGTAGGCTCACGCTCTACTACTGAGCCACATGCCAGAGGAAGTTTTATATCTTAAATGTTCTTGACCTGAAATCTAACTCTTTAGCTATAAGTAGGATTTTTAGAATCATGCTTTCAACGACTTCAGATAATTTCAAAATCCTCTAAAAAAGCCCATGGTTTGCATTTGTTGGTTTGTATTCCCATCATTGTGCAAAGTTTCAGTTATGGAGAGAGAAACACAACCAGAGGGAAAAGATATTTGCTTGGCATAAGGAAATTAATTAGGATATACAGGATGGAAACATTTAGGTAAGCAAGGCAGACAAGTCATAATGGTTACAAACAACATCAGAAACCATGACATTTTTAAAGGTATGGCAGTCTTTAGTAAAATAGCTGTATGCTGTGTGTTCACTAAGTACTTAAGAAATTCCAGATGATATATGAAGTTAGGCTTCTACTATACCTCACATGATAATACCAGAGGACGGCTGCTTCTGAAGAGAAGAGCCACTTGAGGTATAACAATGCTGCTGACCTTTCAAACATGCTGACTATTTCACTTCTGGTTGCTTATTTTAGAACAGAACTGAGCTTGAACTCAGCTAAGATGAGAAAAGAAATCCCTCAGTTTTGGGGAAAGACTATTATAAATGACCAGTAACAGCTGAAAAGACCAAAAAATGCCATATAACAATGTCTTCACTCTCTCAAATAAATGTATACATTTAATTAAAATGACTCACATATATTCTTCCAATCACCTTGCCACACATATATTTTACTACTATAGGGTTTTTTGCTTATGATTGAATACAGTTTATATTTAATAAAGATAAAAGACAAACTCCAGGAATAGATTCACTTTATCATCTTTGGAGCAGCATCTTATGCGTGCCTGGATGTTTTTTATATAGAGGTCTTCAAGGTGGTGCAAGGAATAAATTAAGAATGAGATTCTACAATTGTCTTCTATCCAACTCTGTAGGAAAAATTTTTTTTATGGAGCTTTGTTAACTTAAAGAAACCTTTTATTTATTTATTATTTTTTAAATTGAATTTATTGGTTAATAAAATTATATAGGTTTCAGATATATACTTCTACAACACATCATGTGTGTACTGTATGGTGTGCTCCTTCCATCATCATTTATCCCCCTTTACCCTTTTCCACCCCCTGATCCGCTTCCCTCTGGCACTCACCATACTGTTGTTTGTGTCCATGAGTTTTAAAGAAACCTTTCTTATGTCTCAAATTAAATCCTATAAAACTGGCAATTCCAGATTGAAGTAAACTTTCCAAATATAAAACATAAATCTTTGCAGATGGTTACACTTTATTTCTATCCACATGAGCAGTTCACACAAAACCCCATTGTGGCTCTGGGGTAACGGGCAGTGAGCACCAAAGCTACCTTCTCACCGGGCCTCCAGGAGCCATTGCTTTGCCCTCGGGAGTCGCTCCCCATCTCGTGTAAAAACTTTTCTTAAAACCTTAATTTTGTTTTTCCAAAGCTACATATTTCTAATTTTGCTATCACCGCCAGAAGATTATTTTCCCCTTATATGTGGGCTAACACATCTTAACAAAATGATGAAATTACAAGGGGGTTAGAGCGCGACACACCTGGCTTTGTGCGTCTTGTGCAGGTAATGAGCCCCTCTGAGGCTCCAGCTCCTCATGTACATTCTAAGAGAATGTTTATGGCAGAGGATGTTGGGAGAGAAGTATGCTATAATTTGTGGGTAAAAATTTGGAGACAATCAGGATATTTGTATAGTCTCATAATATCTCCCCTTAAGATATTTATTCATTACAAAAGGAAAAATAGTTATGTTACTGTGAAAGAAACTGACAGGCACAAATTTACCCCAGTGATCAAATTTAGCAATGCTAAAATTAGGGGGCAAAATAGGATATTTGCATAATCCCAAAATATTACCTTCAAGGTATTTATTAACTACAATGGGATAATAGTAACTTTACAGAAGATACACTGCAAACACCACCTTAACACAATGATCAAAGTGAGTATCACCAACAATAAAACATAGGGACATCATGTGCGTCCCTGATACGATGCACTGAGAAGGGCCCATCACTTCTGTGATATTTCTGGAAAACATTCGTAACATCTACTTAATTATGTAAAAATGTCAGACAACCCAAATTGGGAGACATTCTACAAAATGAGTGACTAGCACTCTTCACAAGTATCAAAATCATGAACAAGGAAAGACTTAGAAATTGTCACAGAAAAAAAGGAGACTAAGGAGACATGACAATAAATGCAATGTGCAATCCTGGATTACTAGATTCTGGAACAGAAAAAGGAAATTAGAGGAAAAATTGGTGAAATCAGAATAAAGACTGAAATTTGGTTATTGGTATTGTACCAATGTTAATTTTCTGGCTGTGATCACTATGCCTTGTCAGATATTAAGATTGGGGGAAGCCGAATAAAAGGTATCTGGGAACTACTATTTTTGTAATTTTTCTAAGCCTAAAATTATTTCAAAATTAAAAGTTAAAAATAACTGTTGTGAGGATGAAAGAGGATAAGATAAAAGAGGTTAATTCAACATTTAGCATATTCTAAGTACTTAAATATTAATTTCTTTCTTCTAATAACAATCATTTTAATACTCTCCCAAACTGTCACATCCTGAAGTTGCCCTCCAAATCTCCAAAAAGGGCTTCAAGATTTTTAGTGAAAATTCAATTATGTTCTCTAATAAGGAAGGAAAAAAAAAAAGGGGGCGGGGGAGGAGAGGTAGAAGAAAGCTCATACAATTTAACTATGAGCCACGTATATAGTTCCAAAAGCGCTTATTAAATCTTAACTTCTCTAGGTAGTGGTACTCCTGTATTTTACAGATGTTGAAACCAAGAGCCATGTATATAGCTCTAAAGTATTCATTAAATTTCAACTACTTTGGGCAGTAGATACTGTTACTACAGATGAGGAAACTGAATCACAGAGAGGTTAAGCAATTTCCTAAGGTCATAATGGTACTAAGTGGGGAAGCTAGGCTGAGCATTTACAAAGTGAGACTCCAGGGATTACCATACACTCCTAATCACTACTCCAAGATAGCCACAGAGTCTACTACTGCTATGAATGTAAGCAATGTGCTTTCTGTTATCACAAAACAATATAGCATGTTCATCTTAAATCATTTTCCCACCACGTTCACCAATTACTGCTGATCTTGTATTTAAGTTTGGTATTTTTCTCTTAGTTATTCTGGCTTGTATTTTACCCTAGTAAATTTCCTCTTTTTTTTTTTTATTGGTTTGCAAATAACTCTTTTCTTTTTCTTTTATCTTTTTATTCCTATCATCCTTTTGTCTACCTCCACCCAGCCTCCATCTCCACTTCCCTTTGGCCGTCACCACACTGCTGTCTGTGTCTATGGGTTATGAACATACTGTATGTTCTCTGGCTAATCTCTTCGCCTTTTTTCATCAGTTCCCTCTTCTACCGACCCCTTTTGAATTTCAAGATATTTCTTATTTTCCAAGGTCATTTGGAAATCTAATCTCCTCTTCTAAA